CCACAAAGCATGTGTGTGACAGAGCAAGGACTGGCAAGCTTACTGCCTACCTCTGCTTTCTCCATTGTCCATTTACTCCATAGTGAGCATGAATGGAAGACCAGTCTCAGTTATCCTGAATGGCGACTGCTCACTCAGAATCCTTCCAAAGATGAACAGGAGGAGAGATCGTGGCATGTGATCTGAAGGGATCACAGCCCTCAGACCTATACACTATTGACGTCAGGGGCTGCTTAGCTGTGTGAACAGCTCTGCTGTAGCTGAGCCACACGGTGCCCTGATTCCATTTTGGAATTCGATTAGTTGGATGCTGTGACCTAGGCAGGTCTCTCTCACTCCCCCAGGTCTTTGTATCTCCCTGTGAGGTGAGAGCAGTGAGTGACACCAGGCTCTCTCTCTCCGTCTCAACCTGAGTGCCCAACTTGACTCAGACTTCTCCAGTCCATTAGCCTCCTTGCTGACCTTCAGCCAGGAAAAAACCCCATTCTCTCTGCGCTGTCAAATCCTGTAGAGCCTACACCCTCCCAGCACAGACTCCACAAGCATGTTCTGTCTTCTTTCACCTCATGCCCCTCCTTCCTTAATAGCATTTACCTTAGGTCCTTAGTTGGTCCTGCTGGTCCTCTGACAGATTCTGGCACATGGTAGGCATTTCTCTTCCTCTCTGGTGTGGAGTATGTGTTCATGTGTGTCTGTGTCCGTGTGTGTATGCTTGGGGAGGCTAGAGATTGATGTTTTATCATTCTCCACTTTAAAGTTTTTGAGACAGGGTACCTCACTGAACCGGGGCTCACTGAGTGAGACTAGCTGTCAGCAAGCTCTGGGGATCTTCCCAGGGCTGCCTTTGCAGGTACGCACCACCACGACTGCCTTCTCACATGGGCGTTGGTATCTGAGCTTAGATCCCCATGTGCACTTGGGATGCACTGAGCCACTTTCTCAGCCTTTGCGAAGTAAGTTTTAATTGAATGAATCAAATTATTTCAAAGCCAGACTCTCTTGAAAGGAGACAGAGTGGAGAGCAACTAGCTTAAAGCCGATAAAGGAGTGACCCCAGCCCACTGTCACTCAGTGCTGCTTTCAACTTGGGGATGGTGCCTGACCTGTAAAATTTCAGGGTTTCTGGGTCGCTCATTTTGCTGCTTTTTAGTCCTTATAGTCAAAGCATTTTAAAAATATATAAGTTGGATTAATTCAGCAGTCTGTTAGCAGTTGTTTCTCCTTCCCTAGCAATTAATCAATTAAAGCAACACAGTAACATATAGTATCCAGACTCTCTGTGTCTGTTTCTTTTCCTTTTATTTTTTCCTTTTATGAGACAGTGTTTCTCTGTTTACTTTTGCCTGCCCTGGAATTCACTCTGTACACCAGACCGGCCTTGAAATCACTGAGATCTGCTTGCCTCTGCCTTCTGAGTGTAAAAACCATGGGCTTGTCTTTTCCACATTTAAAAGGAAATCTTTAGCTGTCTTTCGCTCAATTGTTTCTTTAACAATCTTAGAAGTTGAGGTACCCATTTTCAATTCACCCTCATAAATCCTTTCCTGCTGGCTAGCCTCTGAGGGCAATCTCTCAGGGTCTTCTTTCTTTCCCAATCTCAGTGGTACCTCCACTTGTGGTGCCTGGGTCATGAGCAAGTCTAATGTATCCGGCGAAAGCCTGGAGATTTAAATGAAAGACAAGATATCCGGCCATTTGTGCTAAGTGTGTGTGTGTGTGTGTGTGTGTGTGTGTGTGTGTGTGTGTGTGTTATGTTTATTGCAAGGAGGGAGCAGCCTCATATACAGACTTACAGCACAGTGGAAAAACCCCAGGATGATGCCAGTGAGACAAGGCTGGGGCCGTAAGCCAGGATGCACCTGTGGTTATTGGCTGACAAGCAACTCACAGAGACCCCATGGGGCCGGGGCCCAACATGAGGGTACTCCATCTGCCCAGCTGGCACGTGGCACAGTCACATACTGAAGCTCAGTTACCTGACTCCATGACACAGCAAGATTCTCTATGGGAACTTTCCAAACCCAGGAAGGACAGCTGGAGGCTCCTGTCAACACCTCCCTGGATCTGCATGGCAGAGTAGTGGGTGGGAAGAACACAAGAAAAGAATCCCTCAGGGGTAATCAATATCAGAAACCACAGTGGGGCATGCTGCGTCCACACCCATGAAACTTAAGCATCAGCCAAGAGAATAAGAATCAACATGCTTGGAGAGAGGAGCAACAGGCGTGTAGGCATCGAAAACACTGGTCCTTGTAGTCCTCATCCTTGGTGTTTTCCGTGTAAACCAATGCCTGGCTAGGTGCCTGTGGCTGGCACCTGCTGGTAGTCCCAGGCATGTGGGAGCAGATGACCGAGGGGTGAAAGGGAGGTAAGCCTTGCTGAGCTGTGGGGACCCCAGTACTGGGGAATGGTGTGCACAGCTTGTCTTTCTAAAGTACTATTGGCCCTTTGTTTGCAATGCCAGTCACAGAGCACTGCTGGCCTGGTGTCATTTAATCTTCACCCATTCAGCATTGCTGGAAGACAAGTTTTGGCCAGGCCTCAAGTCTGGAGTTGTGAATACAAGCAGTCGCTTGTCTGGTGGGACTATGTTCAACTCTTAAATATCTTACCCTTCCCAGAAGCAGAGGAAGCCAACATCTACCCCCACTTTAGCAACCCCACCCAGCGTTACAGCAGGACTCTCCAGGCACTCCACCCAACCTCCACTGCAGGGTCCTGCTGCTGCCATGGGGCCCAGTCCACTAGTGAGCAAGCCTAAGCTCTGCTCACCTTGATTCTCTGAGAGGCTCCAGAGCCTCCAATGAGGTTCTACAGCCATAGCTTAACACCACGATGCCTGGGGTGTGTCCAAAAAATCTGTCACCACTAATAAAGTACCCAATTATTTTTTTAGTAATTTACAAATGACTAAGAGTTGTCTACAGAGTGGGCCTTCTCTGCCTCTAGAAATGTCTCACTTTGCTTTCTAACGACAGCTCTGTGTTTTCTGTATTTGTGGAAAGCAACCACCATTCCTCACACAAAATGACCAACCCAGGAATGGAAGTGTGGCATCCGCTGTGCCCACATTTGACAAGAAGCAACTTCCAGGAGGGTTTACTATGGCTGACACTTTGAGGGTACATCCACCCTGGTATGGAAGGCATTGTGGTGGGAGTACTTTAGCAGTGATGGCAGAAGTGCCAAGTTGCTTGTTCACTTGTGGGTGCTTCAGGAAGCAGACACAACAGGAAACAAGGCTGAACTATAAAACCTTAATGTCACCTCTCAATCAATTACCTGGTAAAGGTTCCACAGCTTTCCCAAAGAGCAGCACCAACAGGGGACCAAGTATTCAAATACCCGAGTCTGTAGAGGATAGTCCATATTGTAATGACAGACACTGTGTCACAGAAGCCAGCTTGAGATATCCAGCCCACTGCTCTCTGGTCCTAAGTCTAAGGCATAGTTGCTAGGAGCCCTTTGTCATACAGCCAACAGTACCACTGCGCATCAGTAGAGGTAGCTGTGGTGTGGGGGACAGTGGCAGGGCTGAGCTTGTATTGTCAAGGTGGGGTACTAAGTTCCAGACCTAAAGGAGCTGCCAACCTCACACTGCCTCCCATTCCTCAACCTGGTAACACAGATAGTTACTCTACAGTTTTTGTTTGTTTGTTTATATTTTTTTTCCATATCTCAACAGCTAGATGGGCTGTTTGTGTTGGGTGTAGAGTCTATCAAACTTTAACATTCCTAGGTTTCACAAACACATATAAAACGAGTCTTCACAGCCTAAAGTTCTAGCGCAGTCAGCGTATCAGGGAGCTGGCCACGCAGAGAACTGAAGTGTCACACACAACCCTGCAGGCCTGAGGCAGACACACAAGTGCCACAGTGCACACTAGGTGATCGCCCACAGCTGGGGCCTCTGCCATACACCACACATGCTCAGCGGGTGTCAGGGGAGGTCACCCTGCTGCCACACACCAGCACCAGGGTGACCCAAGCACTTTGGTTTGCTCCTTCTAAGACTGCAGGCTTGAGAGGACTACGATACGAGTGGTTTTGCCTGAGGCATGCTGTTTAGCCAGTTAGTTATGGCCATTGCTATTAGCATTTGGTTAAGCCATCTACTCAGGAAGGGGGACTGCAAGGAACAACCATTCGGCATAGCCCAAATCCCAAGTCCTGTGTTTCCCACAGTGAACAGGACATCACCTAGCACAGCTAAAGCCTAAGGACAGTGTGGGGGTGGTCAGGAGGGTTCTGCCCTGCCTACTCACTGAAAACCAAACTTCCATCAGCTCAGCCACACTTGTTTTTCTCTCTCTAACTTGTAGGGACAGGCACAATTAATAATGGAAACAAAGCCTCTTCAACATGACTGGCTCAGAGCACATGAATAAACTGCATTTGACAGCAGATTAGCAATGAACAGATGAGCACATTTACAGACATGTCCTCCACAGCGCAGACTGCCTATACTTTTTTTCTTGTGGTGCAAGGGACTAAGGCCCTAGTGCATACAGCACAAGTAGCCACAGCCCTAGTTCAACTCTCTACGTTTCACAATGGATAGTTACTTGGTAGAAGGTGATGGCTCCAAGTGTTTTTGCGATTCCATGTGAAGTGCTGGCTGACTGAAGCCAGAATGGGAGTAGCTTTGCTTTCAGTTCATCCTGTTCTGACTCTTCAGGTCCTTGACACTGGACGCCTGTCAGTCATAAGCGGAAGGTAATTTCTTCAGTCACTGAAGTCATGCTGTGTCCTCCCGGCAGGTTTGAAGCCACTTGCCACCTCCACTCTGGCCTGATTCTCACTGAGGGGCTCACCTGAACTCTTGGGGTCCCTGAGGCTATTAGCAATGACCTCCTTGCCCGGACCTGCTAGTACAGCTCTTCCTCAGATGAGGGCAGGGGCAGAATGGCCAACTCTCCTTCCTCACATTCAACTTGGTGCTCTAGACATGGGAAAGGATGCTGCATACCAAGAAAAAGCTTGAGAATCCACAAGACACATTAAAAATAAAAAAGGGACATCAAATTTAATTTGAAGAAAAACAACATGAAAGTAACTGCAAGAACAACGGGCAAACCAGCCCCAAAGAGAGCAAGGTGGTTACAGTGACGGGAGGGCTGGAGACAAAGAAACATGACATTTTAGCTGGAGAGGTTGTAAGGTACTCGCAAATGAACTGCTTGGAGGGTAGAGGGATCCTCGGGTCATTTCTGACTATCAGAGTGCACGTGGGCTTCTCTCTGTGAGTGGTCTGTACATCTCAAGAGGCAAAGTCTCCATGTTCCTACACAGGACCATCTTCTGTCTCAGCCGACTCTCAATGGAGGAGCAACCAGAACAACACCATCTCCTCGGACGAAGAGCATGGGGATGTTCCGTTTTGTTGACTGGAAGAGAACAAAGGGAGAGCACGATAAGTCAAACAGTCTGAGCCTGTGTTACAGAGTAAGACTGTGTCAATAAGTACTAAAAAGGAAAAGGGAGGGAAGAAGCCATCTCTCCAGCCCAGGTGCTGGGACTGCAGCAAGAGTATGCCACTGAGTCTGGCTTCGGATTGATTTTGGAGAAGTGGGTGCTGGGTGGGGACTGGACTCTTGCACATATTTTGTTGGTGGTGTTTTTCAAGACAAGGCTTCTCTGTTTGACTCTGGCTGTCCTGGAACTTGCTCTGTAGTTAGACCAGGCTGGCCTCAAACTCAGAGAGATCTGCCTGCCTCTGTCTCCTGAGTGCTGGGATTAAAGGTGTGTGCCATCACGATACTCTTGCTCATTCTAAGCAAATGCTTTACGACTGAGTCACAGCCACAGCTACAACTGAATTTTAGCCATTGGTTTCAAGAGTGACTTCCTCTGAATGCCAATGGGTAGCCATTGTTTTACCAATGGATGGAACCTAAACAATGAGATCACAAGAACAGGAAGGCGGAAGTCTATGTCCCCAACTTAGCACCTGAAAGCCACTGTGTTGACCTGTAGGCAGAGACTCAACCTCCAGAGTGCCCACCAGCCATCACGCCTGCTTCTATGTACTCCCGTGAGCAAAAGTGGGGATGCAACCCTCAAGGTTTCAGCTTAGTGATCAGCTTTGGGCAGGCAGCAAACATGGCACAATCATTATGCCTTGGCAAAATGTTGGCAGAACTTGGGAGCGGCCCAAAGACCTCCCAAACCTACAGACTCTGGAAAAAGCCAAATGTTAGTAAGTGCCATAGTATAACAGATGCATTCAGCAGGAAAGTACAAGAATGAGATCAGGCAAGAACTGGCTAGTCATCAGGCAAATAAAAAGAAACAATGCCAGGTGCTTTTGAGCCCAACTACATAAGTACAAAAAAAAAAAAAAAAAAAAAAGGCAGACAAGGCCCGGTAAAAGTTTTCAGTTAAAAACACTTTGTCCTTAGGTAAAGACTATGCAGCCTGCTGAAGCTCAGGAAGCGTTAACCAGGGTGGTTTGATGCTGTCTCCTCAGTTTCCAGTAAGTCTGTAATTCCATGAGGACTGGTGCTTAGAGCAAGAAGGTTCGGCTACAAGGAACACAGTACCACCAAGACAAGCCAGGCAGAAAGCCACACTGTGGGTTGTTTGGTAACAGAAGTGGTAAACATGATGGACAGCAGAAAAAGTGGGCAGAGCCAAATAACAGAACTTTAGCAATCAACAAAAGCAATACTCTGTGGTGAAACGAGAACCCAAAGAACAGGACTAACTGCTGTCTGCCTTCCTATTGGCCACTTGGTATCAATCCAGTCACTCAGGAGTTAGTTATTCATTCTGTGGGAAAAGCTCAGGGAATCCCAGTGGTCTGTGGTCTTTCCTGTTTTGGGAATGTTGCTATTCTTTAGTTATGTCAGCTGAGGGAGGGCAAAACACACAATGGGCCAAGGAGGCTGCTGCTTGGTTTCTCACTTCAAAGGTAATGAGACTATACAAGGCAGCAAGGCAGTGTTCTCCACTAATGCATGAAATGGACTGTAGAGACTACCCACAACACCACAGTCTGTCTCACCTGTGTCTGTAGTAAACACATACATGACACACTACAATAACCATAAAAGGTGATAAAGGGATGGCTCAGTGCTTTAGAGCACTGGCTGCTCTTCCAGAGAACCCAGGTTCAATTCCCAACACTCACATGGTGGTTCACAACTGTTTGTAACTCCAGTTCCAAGGGATCTGAAGCCCTCTTCTGGCCTCCTCAGACACCAGGCACATATATGTATATTCCCATAAACATTTACAAAATTTTACTTTTTCCCTCTGAGACAGGGTTTCTCTTTGTAGCCCTGGCTATCCTAGAACTTGCTCTGTAGACCAGGCTAGCCTCAAACTCACAGAGATCTGCCTCCCTCTCCTTCCCAAGTGCTGGTATTAAAGGTGTGCACCACCACTGCCCAGCATCATAAAATAAATTTTAAAAAAGAAAGAATAGAAGCTATTGTATCTGTGGGCTGGGTGTGGTGGCACAAGCTTTTAGTCCTAGTACTCTGAGGCAAGGCTCAGACCAACTCAGCTGATGGGAAAGGACACTCTCCAATATGCTGAGCCACTTGCAGGCTGTGCAGTGTGTTACATGGTTCCCAGCTTTGTGAGCTATAATCCATGCTGGGGTGAGCTTTGGTGATAAAGCTGTCTTTAAGATCAGTGTTGCAGGGCATTGGTGGCGCACGCCTTTAATCCCAGCACTCGGGAGGCAGAGGCAGGCGGATCTCTGTCCAGGACAGCCTCCAAAGTCACAGAGAAACTGTCTCGAAAAACAAAAAACAAACAAAAAAATCCATGTTAAAAATAGGCTGTTTGACTCCAAAACCCTCACATTTAATTACTACAGTTTATCAATAGTCCCTAAGTAGGCATAACAAGCTTCCCACAAATATGTGTTAAATTGCTGCATGATGAGATCTGACACCGTCAAAGAGAAGACCTGCAGGACTTACTTTATATATCTCTTCATATGTCTCTTCATCAATCTCTATCGTCGTCACAGTTTCTTCTACGTCTCCCAGGATCATATTTAAATGCTGGTCATAAGCCTGAATGGGAGGGTGAGATTTGAGAAACAAGGAAGAGGGCTCAAAAGATGCAAGTGGATTATAAGCAACATGTTCAATACTTACACCCAAAACTTTTACATGCAAATAACAAGCACTCCCTCTGTGCTAGTCTATTGTTTCTTCGAAAGTCATTCCCACTGACACTACTGCTTATGATCAAAAATGAATTCACTCAAAATAACCTGAAATTGCTTAAGTACCTACTCTACTTGTTAGAGAAAGCCCCATTCACAACAGTTTATTAAAAAAACCCCAGCAAATTCTTTGTTTATTAGACTTCTTCCAAGGATAATAAGCAACATAAAGTCTTAGCCCTGTGGTTCTCAAGTAAGGACAATGTCATTTGACGCTCACAAAAATGATACAGGCAGAGCAAACTTTTTCCCTTTTTTGTGGTCATGCATATGTGTGTGTGTGTGGTATGCATGTATTTATGCATGTTCATATGTGTGTGGGCACCAGAAACTTCCTCAGTTGCTCTCAACCTCATGTATTCAGGTAGAGTCTCTCACTTGAACAGTTTGTGAACTGTCTAGCTAGCCAGCTTGCTCAGGGATTCTATCTTTGCCTCCAGAGGCTGGTGTTACAGGTAACACCCGCCTGGTGTTTCCATGGGTGTCGAGGATCTAAACTCCAGCCGTCATGCTTTACCTAGTGGCCATCTTTCCTACCTCTACTTTGCCCATCTGTAACCTGTCTAGAGCTTAACGTGCTTTGGCCTCTGTAGACTCAGTCAGGAAGGATTGAGACCACAGTATTCAGTGCAACCTTTAAAGTTCATTCCTTTTACTAAACAGCAAACCTCCTGGGGCCTGTTCAAAACCCACTTACATGTTCTTCTAACAAAGTGCTAAGTGGTTTGCCTGCTCATATCAAGATAAAAATAGCCCAACAGCCACATTAGGAAGGAACTGCTTGGCAGCTATACAAATGAGCAAATGTTCAGCTGAAGAGCAGGAGGCAGACAGAAAGGTGGGCCACTTAGCATGGAGGTAAGAGCTAAAGACACCGCCTGGCCTGGGGTGTCACTTCATGTGCCAAAGACCCTTCGCTCCATCCCACTTTTCTCGTCAAACGGACACTGCTGTTTGCAAAGGCTAGCTTGTAGATCAGTGACCCGATTTCCTTCCCAACCCCAGAGGTCCACTGCCCTCAGGAATCATGGAAGGAACTATCACAGCTTCTGAGAGGGAGACTGAAGTGCAACTGCCTAGTGGCTCTGTCACTGGCAGGACAGGGCTGTTTCTAACCCTGAACTAAGACTTGGTTCAATTCCCTGCTGTAAACCAACAGCCCTAGGAAAGTAAAAGTTAAGAAGAGACAAACCATAAGTACACAGTGATGTCACTTAACAGGACCAATTCCATAGAAGTCATAAATGTGCACAAGCAATAAAGTGAGTAATACAGTCTCATAGTTGGGGAAAAAAAGAAGAATGTGACAACTGCCTTATATAAAATCCTGTGCAGTAATCATCTATATAATCAGTCCACCAAAAAAAATATCACATGGAATGTGATTTTATATGCATACAAAGTCTTCACTGCCTGCCTTTCAAGACAGGGTTTCACTAGGTAGTCCAGACTAGTCTCAAACATGATCTTTTTGCCTCAGTCATCTAAGAACAGGAATTATGGGCACATGTCACCATACTTCACGAGGATCTCCCTTTAAACACTGTCTATACACATGTAATCAACCCCAAATAGTGGTCACCCATAGTGAATGGGACTTCACTTTTAATCCTACAGATTTCTATGCTATTAACACTTTTTGTAGTGCTAGGGACTTTGCCCCATGTTAGGCAAGTAAGTACTCTTACTAACGAACTGTATATCTAACCTGTTTTCAATAACTAAAAAAATAACACCCTGCCCAATAACCTTCAAGAATAGAGGACAAGTAAAGAATGGTAGTGCACATCTATAATCCCACCTCTAAGGAGATAGAGGCAGGAGGATCTTGACTTTAAAACTAGCTGGGCTGCATGGCAAGCCCTTGTCGAAAATAAAGAAGACAAGTAAGTTTACTCCTAAGTAAACAGAAGGTAAGACTGAAGGAGATAAAAATGTTCTATAGGGTTGGAGAGACGCTCAGGTTAAGAGCACTGGCTACTCTTGCAGAGTATGAGTTTGGCTCATGTATCACCCATATCTTGTCTGTAACTTCAGCTCCAGGGGATCTGATACCCAGTTTTTGGTCTCTGTAAGCATGGATACACCCACACACCCACATGCTTTCTTTCATAAACCTCTGGTAAGGAAAAAAAAATATATATATATATTTGTTTTTCGAGACAGGGTTTCTCTGTGTAGCTTTGGAGGCTGTCCTGGTACTCACTCTGTAGACCAGGCTGGCCTCAAACTCACAGAGATTTGCCTGGCTCTTCCTCCCGAGTGCTGGGATTAAAGGTGCGCGCCAACAATGCCCAGCTTCGGAAAAATATTTTAAAAATAAAGGATATTCATATTGTCTAAGATTTTTCAACTCCCGAAAGAAACTGCATAATTTAAAGCAGTATGTTTATGTTGCAGTTCTTAAACCTGTAAGCAGGTAGGAAAGGATGATAGGGAAACATCTGGTTTTGAGAAATTTAACAACTTACATGTAATCTGCCTCGAAGCTCTCGGTCGTTTCTCATCTTCACATAAATTCTCTCATCCAAACTGAGCCTGATGAGATCCAGGGGCTCCTCTACGGTATTGGTAGTTTGTTGCTGATGAAGGAAACACACTTAGTAATGGACTACTAGAGACAGCATGGTGCTTCAACCACCGTTAAGCAGTGCAACCAAGGGTAAGTCATGTAACCCGTTTATGCCTTAGTCTACTTTGCCAAATGCAGAAAACAGTGTCTCCCTAATACTATTATCAGACTTAAATGACATATGAAAGCTTAGAATAGTGCCTCAATGCCATGTAAAAGACAGCCAAAACATTATATGGGAAGGAGTTAAGTAGCAAAATAATGACTGAACTTCCTCAAAATTGAAAGTGTTAGAGTACCACTTAGGAACTTTAGCTTTATCTTTTACAAAATTCAATAATCTGAAAAGCATACCTGCAATACGTATTCACACATTAATAAAAATATCTGACTGCGTTTGAAGCCAGTACAGAGTAGGTTGAGTTTAGGGTGCTAATTGTTTGGCAAGATGAACCTACCTACCGAGTAGTTTAATACAGACATTGAAAGAACTGAGTCAGGCAGTCTGCTCAACTCCAGGTTCTGACCTGGCTCTTCTGACTGGGATTAAAAGTCATGTCATCTCTTGTTTCAGATTCCCCATCTGCAAACTGAGGAGACCACATCTTTGTCTCAAAGATCTTATAAGGACTAATGGGTCTATCTGAAGTAAAAAGGAAATACTTCTAAATAATTACCATTATTACCGGTTTTTTTTTTTGAAAGAGGCACAGCAAGCCTCCTGCCTGCCTCGTCCTTCATATGTTGGGATTATAGGTATGCACCGCTTCTAGGGCTTTTAAGTGCGTGCGTGTGTGTGTGTGTGTGTGTGTGTGTGTGTGTGTGTGTGTGTCTATGAGTGCGCGAGTGCATATGAGAGGTGATGGAGTTCAAGAAGTGGTCAGAAGATAACTTTCTAAAGTTCTCTCCTTCTTCTGTGGGTCCCAGGTATTGAACTCAGGCTGTCAAGCTTGCAAACTGCAAGCACTTTTACCTGCTATCTTACCAGCCCCACTCCCAGCACCTATATTCTTATATTTAATATAATCTCTTGCTTGCTTCAAGATTTAAGAATGCTATCTTTCTTGGTCAGTCTTTTCAGAGGAATGATAAATCAGAATTAGTCTTCAAGAACTATTGGAACAGGTTTCAAAGGTTAGAACCAGGATGACTTGGAGTCAGCTATGTGGAAGAGGTGGTTCCATCCATCAAGAGTTAGTAAAACCATTCTGTAAGCTTCTCCAGTGAGTACCTGGGGTCAGTGAAAGCTGACTGAAAATCATAGGCTGCGTAGATATGAGGCTGATGACAGTAAACAAACACCCCCCCACCCCCTGGACCTCAAATGGGGCTTTCCTCCCCCCATCTTAGCTCGGAAGGCTTTTGTTAAGAATCAGACAACCGAACCACTGGACTACAACAATACAGAAGTCACATCCCCTCAATGGAGCTCACTCTAGTGTGGAGAAGGGCATATAAGTACATAGCTGTGAAACAATGAGATGGTCCCCACGACAGCCCTTTTCAGTCTAGGACGGCCACTGTCAATCCTTTTCACCCTGTAGCTTTACATTCTGCCTTTTCAAAGAAGCTGCCCCTGAACATTGGGTTCATTCCCTCAACTAATACCTGCTGAGTGCTAGCAGCACTGTCCTAAACCTAGGAAAGAAAAGCAAACACAGAAAACCCCCCCTTTCAAAGTTTATTTTTATCGTATATGTGAGCGTTTCGCCTGTATGTATGTGCACCACATGCACACGGTGCTCTGCAGCAGAGGCCAGAAGGAGACGTTAGACCCCCTGCAACTGGAGTTAAGATGCGTTGAGGTGCTGGTAAGCCAGCATGTGGGTGTTGGTACCCAACCAGGGTCTCTACCAAAGCAACAAGTGCTCTTAACCCCTAAACCATCTCCCCAGCCTCCCCAAATGTCCCTATTAAGGAACTTACGTTCTAGTTATGGAAGAAACTTATTAGATAAAGAAATACATATTTTAAAATAGCATGCTCTGAAGAGAAACAGTAAGGTCGTCCGTGTGTGTGTGTGTATACGTGTGAGGGAGTGCAAGTCATTTCGGAATTCCATAGGTACCTAGAGAATAGGAAAGAGTAGGTGACGAGAGCTGTAGGCCCTTCTGTTACCCTGTGTAGCCGTTCTTGGCTTGCTTTCTTCATACTGCAAATCTACCAGCTTCCCTACCTCGCGGAGCCGCGTCTTTTATCTGACTTCCTTCATAATACACTCCAAGAGAGGCATTGCCTGTGCACCAGGTGCTTACACGTATATCTAAGCTGGTGTCCACTACTACATCACGTTTTCTGTCTGGTATCGACAGCCGTTTGCATTTTACAGATAAAAGCCGATGACGAGCGTGATGGGTAGATAGGCGGGTTGAGAAAACTCTAGGCCCGCGGAAGTTTTAGGAGCAGGCGCGGCTACGGAAGGCCGTGGTTACTCCGGAAAAAAGAAACGGGCCACTTTTCGGTGAGCGTGGCAAAAGCGAACGGGCCAGGAAGCACAAGCGCTTCCTCTACGAGCGCCACTGGACAAACTTACCTGATCTACGTCGTCCGCCATGTTTCAAACGCTGCGCCCTTTCCACCTCTCGCGAGAACAGGCACCCAGAAACGCAAGGGCTCCACTCTCGGGAAGGAGAACTATATTATTTTTGTCCCTTTGCGCCCCTGTAGTTTACACAGGGGCGGGGTTTCTTCGGAGGGCGTGGTTCCAACCTGGTCAGGGGGCGCGGCCAGGCATGGCCCGCCTCGGGGCGGAGTGAGCACGCCGAGACTCGCTGCGGCCGGCCGCGGTAATCAGGAGTGGCGCTGAGCGGCAGCATGGCTCCAAAACGTCCTGCAGGCGGAAGGCGGCGGGGGCGCGGCCGAGAAGCCGAGAACAACAAAGCATCCCGGCCTGAGGAGAGCTACGCGGGTGAGAGGCTGAGTCTGGGACATGCAAGGCTATGGTGGCGGAGGCTGGGGCGGGCAGCGGGCGGAAGGTCTCCATGGCCGGATGCGCGGCGTCTACCATCAGCCCTGACCCCACCGTAACCCCTAGGGCCAAGTCCAGCCTTTTGGCAAGTGTTACGGGCCGAGCAGGAAAAAACCTCGCAGTTGCCCGGAGTCTCAGAGACACCAAAACTAGAACAGAGAGAGACCTTGTAGTGCTAGAATCGGCCCAAGATTTGCGATGCGCTTCTTACCTTGGTCTTGAACCAAGGAAAAGCTCCAATTCTCCCTTAAAACATTTCCAGCTCAATAAATATCTCCTTCACCCACCTGTTTAAACATTGCCTTTTCTTAACTGCCAGTTCGTCAGGAGGTCCAGTTCAGCTTCGGAATCACTGAAATATGTACCTAATTCTCCTAATTTCATAGCTGGTATCCTGTTCATGTCGTTTTCTAGTTGAGTGAGTTCCCCTCTGCATCAGATCTCCATCCAGCAGCCAAATGATGTAGGACAGCAACCAGACCGCATATGCCTTGGTCTTCTTACTTAAAACCTTCTTAGATGTATGCTCTCCACGTATAGCATCTACCTCACTTAGTATGCTCTCCGTCTATAACATCTACCTCACTTAGCATGTCTCTCTTCCAGATATTCTTATGTTAAACAGCAGCCTGGCCTAGAGCTCTGGGTTTTCCTGTCTCATCCTCCTGATCGCAGGGATTACAGATGCCACCATGCCTGCCTCTTAGTGACCGCCCTTCTGTTCTTTGAATATTACTGTTTGTTTATCAGGAGGCTTGGCCTTCAGTGTTTCTTTGCCGTAGGATGTTCTTCATCGCTGTTTCGGGATCTAATTTCTTCTCTACTTGAGGTCTAAGACGCTCCATGGCCATCTTAAAGTAGTCATTCCTAGGTGCCCTCTACCACAGAATCGCAGTGACTTCCCTGTCTGCCTCACATTCTGCAGAGATCGTCATTTCTTATTGCTTGAGTAAAATATAAGCTTCATAAAAACAAAGCCCATTTCCCTCCTCATCCTATTTTGTTCTTCCTCTCGTTTACATCCCAGGAAAAACACTTTACTATTTTTTATTTTATGCATATGTGTGTTTGCCTGCATGCATGTCTGTGCACAATGTGTGGGCGGTGCCTGCAGAGGCTAGATAGAACTGGAGTTACAAAAGGTTGTGAGCTGCTGTTCCGGTGTTGGGAATTGAACTTGGGTTCTCTAGGAGGGGCAGCAAGTGCTCTTAACTACTGAGCTATCTCTTTTGTCCTGCAAAAACCATTTTTAAATATGCAAAGTGCATGCTGCTAGAAGGGATAGCTAGACCTTCTAAAATAACTAGATAGAAAATGTGACTAGTGTATTGACCCCCCATACCCACCCCATGGCTCCTACTACCCTGGAATTGGATTCCGTACAGATTGTAAATTCATTGTCAACTAGGAAACAGTAATATTTCCTAAACATTAGAGGCCTTGGCTTACTCTATACTTAAGAAGCTTCACCGTCTTCATTTACTCATCGAAGACATTTCTTGAGCATCTGTTATGTGGTGTCTGCCAGTTAGGTAGTTTCTACATGGAAAAGTTGAGGAGCACTCCCGTGCATACAAATGAAGATGAGGCTTAGCTCCTTTTGATAGTTGGGAATAAAGAACATCATCATTCACCTTGTTGCCCAGTAGGCTCCTCTTCAGATATTTTTTCCCTCTGTTAATGTCTTCATTGGGAAAGTCATTAGTTTCTCTAACTACTCAGTGATTTCCCACCACTGCTCTAAGTACTGGGAGTATACAGTAAATGAAGCAGGCAAGGCTTCTGCTACTAGGATGCTGATATTCTTTGGGGAGGAGAATAAGGTCAACATAATAAGATTTAAAAGAGAGGAAAAAACATATGATGAGTAAAACCAGTTGCTCCCATCTGACTGCCAGAGGTCTGGGGAAGAGGCAGTGTTAGTGTCCAGGTGCTGTAGCGAATCACTTTGTGTAATTTTGAACTCTGCTTTGGAAGTGCGGTGGTAAGTGCAAGGGGGCGAGTCCTATGCAAAGAGAATAGGATGCTTAAAGACTCTTGGCTGTGCGCAGTTTGAAGAGATGAAATATGGAAATCGAGGTGATTGCAGGTCAGGGATCTCAGCCTGAAGATCGAACTAAGGAATCTGAATTCATCCTGAGTACCTTGGGGAGTTCTGAGAAGATGTACATGCCTGCCCTTAAGTCTCCACAGCACAGTGAGGAAACCACAGTGTTAATTTTTTTTTTTTTTTTTTTTTTTTTTTGGTTTTTCGAGACACGGTTTCTCTGTGGCTTTGGAGGCTGTCCTGGAACTAACTCTTGTAGACCAGGCTGGCCTCGAACTCACAGAGATCCGCCTGCCTCTGCCTCCCGAGTGCTGGGATTAAAGGCGTGTGCCACCAACACCCGGCCACAGTGTTAATTCTTGAACTGGTGAAATGACTGAGCTCAAGGAGACTCGTTAGGTATGCTAGTTAGCTCTTAATTTTGGAAACTATTCTGGAGATGTGTTGAGAGGCTACCCTACTCCTACTCCCCTGCATCCTGCAAAAAATAAACAGCAAAAAATACTGAAAAGCCACTAAAGATTTCCAGTGCAGAATAGAGGTCCATTTCCTTGCTGCCTGTGCTTTTTCACACTCAGCCAAAACAACATTTCATACTGAACATCAGATTATATCACTTTTCCATTATCTTAATGATTTAATTAAACCAAGAGTGGTGGTGCACCTTTAATCCCAGCGCTCAGGAGGCAGAGGTAGGCAGATCTTTGTGAGCTTGAGGCCAGCCTGGTCTACAGAGTGAGTTTGAGACCAGTCAAGGCTATATAGCAAGAGCCTGCCTTAGCAACAACAACAAAAAGTTACATTTCCCAGGGTGAGTTAATCATTTCATGGTAGGATATTCAGGGTGTTTGGGTTTGGTTTGCTTGGCTTATGTTTTGAGGCAGGTTCTTGCTTTGTAGTGCAGGCTGGACTATGACTTTTGGCAATCATCTTTCTTCATTCTCCTAGGGCTTGGATCACAGGTAAATACCACCATGCTCCCCTGGATATTTATTTTGGGGAAAATTTGATACTGTAAGTGTGCTGGATAGTTTTATGTCAGATTGACACAAGCTAAAGTCATCAGAGAGATGGGAACCTCAATTTAAAAAAAATTGCATCCATTGGATCCAATTGCAAGCAGACCCTTAAGGAATTTTCTTAGTGATTAAAGTAGGAGGGCCCAGCCCATTGTGAGTGGTGTCATCCCTGGGCCAGTGGTCCTTCCATAGGAAAGCAGACTGAGCAAGCCATGAGGAGCAAGCCAGTAAGCAGCACCCCTCCATGACCTCTGCATCAGCTCCTGAGCCTCCAGCCCTCGTCCTGTTTGAGTTTCCTGTCCTGACTTCTTTCTGTGATGAACAGGGCTGTGGAAGTGGAGGCCCAATAAATCCTTTCCTCCCCAAGTTGCTTTGGCCATGGTGGTTTGTCACAGAAATATAAACCCTAAGACAATAAGCATCATCTGATTCCCTTTACATCCCCCACCTTTCCAAAACACAGAAGCAGCCTCTCTGCCTTTCAGATGACAAGTTTGCTAGTGCCTAGGAACTATTTTCTCAGTGCTTGTTTGTCCTTGTAATCAAAGTGTTTAAAACATGGAAATTGCTGAGGCAGGAGAATCATCACAAGTTTTAGATCCTGTCTTTGAATTAAAAAAAAAAAGACACAAGAATTAGTGATTTACCTAACATAAAACAAATGTTTGTATAATGTGAATTTTAGTTGAATTAAATTACCAGTCCCTGTAGATCTAACGGAAAAGTCTTTGCTTTCCCCCACATGTAAAAATACATTTTCTGAGAATATGAATACATGCCCTGAGAGTCAGCAAGATAAACCATGAATGACCAGAATGGGTTAATTTAATATTTCAGCTTAATTCTGCACTCTCTTTTGAGTCTTTTTTAAAAAACAGAACAGGGTTTCTCTGTGTAACCTTCGCTGTTCTGGAACTCACTCTGTAGACCAGGCTGGCCTCAAACTCATAGGGATCTGCCTGCCTCTGCCTCCTGGGTGCAGGGATCAAAGGTGTATGCCACCACTGCCAGGCCCCTTTTGGAGTCTTAATCATAGCTAATCTATGTTATTTTCCAAAGTCAATTGAAACAGATTTGTGGGAAGGCTTTTGTTTCTCCTTTGGATCTGTTGATCATTTGAACCTGTAAAGTTGATGCAGATATTTCAGAAATCAAAAACCTTGGTAGTGATACCAAGTAGTTTAGAAACATTCACAGTCCTATTCCAACTCTTGAGTCTGCTGAGGCAGTTAGTATAGAAGCACCATCTAGGTTAGAGTGGCAGAGTACTTTGAGCAGAGTTTGGTTTAGAATGTGTCAGAAAGAATTGTAAAAGTAAGGTGCAAAGAGGTTTGTGAACTGGAAGGGTCTCACCTGAGTGGTAGATTCTACTAGGTCTTGGCCGATGGTTGGCGAGCAAGGTGTCATTGAGTAGATTCAAGGTTTTTCCCTTACATTTCCTTTGAGATAGGAATTATGAGTTTTAGTCATAGGGTAGTTTCTGTTTTAGAAGAAATAGAATAAGAAAGAGTCTTCTAGTAGTGTAGCTGGGTGGTAGCACTTCCCTATGGCACATGGGGCTCTGCATTTGATTTGTGTGGTTTTTATTGTGATCATAGAGGAAGCTTCAGGTGAAGGCTGAGCATTGTGTGCTGCCTAGACACAAGATGGTGACCAGGGGATGGGTGACAGATGTGGTTGTGGAGATTCTTGCCCAAAAGTCACACTGCCTCCTCCTTCCAAACCACCCATCACCCCTTGCTCTGTGTTGTTACCTAGATGATTTTGAAGATGAGAAACAGAAACCCCCAAAGAAGTGCGTTCTCTCCAAAGTTTCCCAAAGAAAAAGGAAGAGAGGCTGCAGTGATCCAGGAGACCCCACAAAGGGTCCATCAAAAAAGAAAGCGACCAAAGCCACTACTAAATCTGAGAATCTCAAGGCTCCAAAAGAGGAAGTTCTCAGCGATGAGGACGACTTCAGGTGAGATGACCAAACACAGAACCCAGTCACAGTTGTTCCCATCAGAGAAGGGAGGATAATGGCAGTCATTCTTTGCTCTCTAAGGGGATGTGGGAAGAAGGAGAGTCTTTAAGTATTTCCAGCTGTAGACCTCAGAGTTTCCTGTTGAGTTTTCCTGTCCCACAGCTGCCCTCAAATAATCACCCAGAGTCTTAATATTAATTACAAATGCTTGGCCAGTAGCTCAGGCTTATCACTAACTAGGTCTTATATTTTAAACTGACCCATATTCTTTATTTACACTCTGCCACATAGCAGTACCTTTGTTAGTATGCCACATTCATCTCCTGCTCCCTCTGTCTGGCTGGTGATTCCCCTGACTCCACCCTTCTTCCTCCCATCTCATTTGGCTTTCTCACCTAACTATCATCTTCAGCTATTGGTCAGTCAGCATGTTTATTAAACCAATCATAGTGACGTGTATTCACACAGTGTATAGTAGGATTATTTCACAGCATTTTTCCAGTTTTGTCTAATTAAAAAGGAAGGTTTTAGCTTTAACACAGGAAAATTATATACAACAAAAACAGTTCTCAAGTAAGACTTGTATTTGCTGTATCCAGTCTATTTGTATTTGGCAAAATTAGAGAAAATACTATATTATCTGTCTTATCTTGGTGAATCTAAAGTTTTACACCTAATTTGTTTTTATCAGAACTAAGGAAAGCTATAAGTTTAACTATTTAGTCTTTAACTCCATCAAGGAACCCAGAAGGGTGAAATGTCACCTAATGACAGGGACATCAGACAGTCACCCAGAGTTCTTCCTCTGTAACATTGGGGCATCTAACTCTGGCCTATACACCTAGCATTTCTGACAGACTTTCCTGTGAAGCAAGGAATTCTGAAGAACTGTCTTACCTTGTCTTGGCAAAGTTTGGCAGTCACCTCTCTTGTGTCCTGCTTGCTAGTCTAGTTTGGATAGTATATTGTCACCAATTGAGACAGGGGCAGTTTCTTTGCCCACATGGCTATAAAGAAAATAAACTCCATATGGAGTTTCTTTGATGGCCGTTATTTTTTCTGAAGTAGATTGGTGCTTCCAGGAACAGATGTGTCTCACTTTCATGAAAAACCTTATGTTATTAAATATATTAAATGCCATAGTCTGTAGGTCTTTGAAGTATTTGAAGACCATTTATCTATCTATCTAAATATATTTGTGTATGACCTTGAAGACATACCTAACAAGACTATAAATTTGATTATAGTTGACTACTATCTGTATTTCTTAGTTATACATTACATTTTTAAATGAGTTGTATAAACACAATACCTTAAACAAGAGTAGAAATATACATACAGTATAAAATTAACTTTAAATTTGTATCAATAAACTAAAATCCATACCAATGTAAATTATTTAAGATTAGTAACTGCTTTTTTAGTTTGAAAGTAGATTCAACAATCTAACTTTTTAATCCTGTCATATCTATCCCCCGCCTTTTTTTGACCATACTCAGTAACAATTTGTAACCAATGTCCCCCACAGGATGACAAATATCCATAACCCGTGAAAGACCACAAACCATACACCCCATCTCTTGGGAATGTGGGTGTTGTATTTTTTAAATCACTTCCTGATGTCTGGGGGGCAGCTGCATCTCTCAGGGACCCTTGGAATTATTCTGATCAGTTTGTAGTCCAGAGTCCATCTTTGGGTGGTGCTTATCAGCCGATAAACTGGCGTTACCACAATGTGGGGCCCCATCATCCTTTTGGAGACTTCAGTGATCACTGTTAGGAATGTTTATTGTTCACTCCAGAAAACTTAAACATATTAAGTGTCATATGCTGTAAATCTTAGGGAGGTTAAAGGACCATAATCTATTAAATACATCTGGGATATCCAGGCTTAATTCATAAATCTCTCTTTAAACTCAAGCCTAAAATTACATATAGGAAGCTACATGAAGTCTAAGGTTAGAATTAGTACTTTATAATATCATTAATATCAAAACAGAAAGTTTAAATTTTGAGATAGTATGTATACTTAAAAAAAGTTTTAAGGAGTCAAAATAAATCTGAGGAATATGAGATTAGTGACAATATAATAGTCCCTAGATTTCGGTTTTCTTCTGTCCCATTCCAGGTGGTTCTTCTGATTTGAGACAGAGACTTTGAATTTTATTTTAACAAATATACTTGGGTTTAGAGAAGGAAAGAGCCACACTCCAACTCCACATTCAGCTTTAGTTTTAATTGAGTGGGGACTGCATAAAGACCACTGTTCATTCCCAGTGTACAGAAGGGTTACTCCACAGCAGCTCACAGCGAGTGACTTACCCCTGGTCACACATACAGCTAGCTAGTAGCACACTCAGGAGCAGAATTCCGAATTCAGGGTTCCTGACTCCTGGTCCAGTGCGCTTTCCATTCACAGATACTCAACAGTGAGGCAGCTTCCTGCCACCTCGGTGTTGGCACTGGCAACTGCAGTCCAGCTGGACTTTGAGCATTCGTCGGGCACATTCTTGTCCCCTGATGCCCTTTTATTTATTTTTTCATTTTTCATAGTTTGGGGGATCAAACCCGAGGCCTCCTGTGTTGTAAGCCAGCACTGATCACTGAGCTCCACTTCCTGCCCTCTTCTCCCCCTGTGTTGCACTCTTGTTCCCTCCACCTGGAGTCGCTTTGTCCCTTCTGATGCTTGTCTGAAGCCATCAGCTCTAGTTTTCACAAGCTCCTGTCTTTCTGCTCCCGTGTTCTGCTGCTGCTGCTGAGGAGTGTGCCATGTCTGCCAGGTGGCAGTTACTTACAACAATACATTGTATCCAGGTTTGCCCCCCTCTAGGGTGATCAGTCCTCTTGGGCCTCAGCTAGAGCTGTGAACTTCATTTGTGTTTACAGGGCCTGTGGCATCTAGGGCTAGACCTGTATTTTTCCAGCTGCTGCATGCCCTTGGGAAGCTAATGCTCTTATTTCAGGATGAGGGACAGAACATGAGACTAGTTCATTATCCAGCCTAGGCAAGCTGGAGGGTAGGTGAATAGAGGAAAGCTGTTTGCTCCTAAATAAATCCGACCTGCTGTAGGTGATGGGAGAACAGTCCAGCAGAGGGCAGTAGTGGGCCAGGGAAAGAGCCAGGGAAAGCCAGCAGCTTCTCCACCATGGTGCATAATGCTTCCTGTTGCCCCCCCTCGGTTGTTGAATTCTCTCTCTGGGAATATCCATACAAACATAGGTCAAGAGCTGCCAAGGAAGGCTCTGGATCCCCTTTCTTCTCAACTGAGGGTTGACTGGTCCAACCTGTAGTTTAGAACCATTTCTACTATTTGACATGGGGGAAATTTTGTTGCCATGGCATTGAGAAAAAGTAGCAAACAAAACCAAAATGTTATTGGAGCTCAAGACTGAGATCATTTTAAGTGTCTGTGCTAAAATCTTGGCTGTTTCCTCTTGATAACAAGTATCATAATGTTTACACAAGCCAAAAGTAACCCAGAACTGTAGAGGGGATTTACCTGTGAATCTGCAGAAGTATGTCAACATTCTGGCAACTGCCCACCTTGCTTGTTGCTGTCCAGCCAGCTGCTTATCTGCATGGGTTTCCCCTGCTCACAGCTGCCCACCTGGTCCTGGCCATGGGTTCACACATGAGCACACCTGACTTGTCTTGTTTGAGATGCGCCAGCTTCAGTGCCTTTGGGCTACATTTCCTAATGGGAGAAGAGCATTCTCTGAGCTGGTCACAGGCAGCTCGGCTGACGTGGACCTCTCTTCTCCTGACCCCCAGCTATGTGCATTTGTGCACAGTTACCTCAGCTTTCTGAGGCTCCTCTGACCGTGCGGCTTAATTTTTCCCTCATCATTTCAAGGCACAGCATTTTTTCTTTTTTCTTTTGGTTTTTCAAGACAGGGTTTCTCTGTGTAACATCCTTGGCCGTCCTGGAACTCTCTTTGAGACCAGGCTGGCCTGGAATTCACAGAGATCCTCCTGCCTCCGCTTCCCAAGTGCTGGGATTAAAGGCGTGCACCACCACAGCCTGGCCTTTTTTTCCCCCCACATGGATTGTGAGTTAGTAAGTTCTGGATTTGTTTTAAGAAACAAAAATCTTGCTTTGTAACGGGCTAGTCTTATACTTGAGCTCTTTCCACCTCCCGTCTTAAGACTTTGAGAGCCAGCTCTCTGTCACCTTCATGGATATGATTGCAGTAGTCAACAGAGAAGAAATCTTGTGGGCTCTGCTAAGCCCGAGTGTGGCACTAGGATATGTGAGCCTTCTGCATCTTTGATCCATACGCAGGGACTCTCCAGGTGACTGTAAGAAGTCAAAGAAGCACCCAAAGAGAGAGGATGAAGGCAGTGATGAAGATGAGGACAGCGAGGATGACTGGGAGGAGGTGGAAGGTAAAGTGTCTGTCTTGTTTTCCAAGCTCATTCTCTGCTGCTTGGAGCCAAGTCACATCACATGTTGCAATCTTGTTTTTCTTGGAAACAAAGACAAGATACAGTTGCAGTAGGGACTTCTTTAAGTAACAAAACTCCACGGGTTGCTAGAGAAGCCTGTGTGTTGCCTCCACCGGACTTAGTAAGGAGCTGTAAACAGGCGAGGCTGGAGGGGGTGCAGCTGCAGGAGTTTGGTAGTCCCGACTCCAGCCCTGACTACCCCACACGGCTGTGTGAGCAAGTTCTTTGCTTGTCTGGGGCAGTTTTTCACTGGCGGCATTCGGTAAACTGTATGTGACTGGACTATGCCCGGTCGGGCTCTAGGGTTTGGGGAGGAAGTCTGCAGGTGCAGTAGGCCTGAGCCCCAAGTCCTCACGGTGAGAGTGGTAGCTAATGTTAATCCCTTCTGTGGGGCATGCCCATCCCCTCAACATTTTATTTTGACAAGTTCAAATCTACCAAGAAAAGAGAGTAGTTTGCATACCTTGTCCTTTATATTAATATGTCTTTTATTTTTATTTTTTTATTTTCCAGACAGGGTTTCTCTGTGTAGTTTTGGAGCCTGTCCTGGAACTTGTTCTGTAGACCAGGTTGGCCTCCAACTCTCCAACTCACAGAGATCAGCCTGCCTCTGCCTCCCGAGTGCTGGGATTAAAGGCATGCGTCACCACCATCAGGCTTAATGTGTCTTTCTTTTGGGGGGAAGGGAGTTCGAAACAGGATTTCTCTGTAATATTTTGGAGGCTGTCCTGGAACTTGCTCTGTAGACCAGGCTGGCCTCGAACTCACAGAGGTCCACCTGCCTCTACCTCTGAGTGCTGGGATTAAAGGTGTGCACCACCAACACCTGGCCTTAATGTGTCTTTCTATCTGTAGCTATTTGAAAATGAGTTTCAGCAACCCTTCAGTATTCCTTTTCTAAAAGATAGCTATATCTTACCTGGCAGAGCAACCTCCTCACACCCAAAAATGTGAAAAACAACCCTCAATTGTTACAAAAATGCCCTTAGAGCGCTGTTGTTTTCTTTTTTGCTAATCCAGGTCCATATTAGAAATTATGCATTTGTAGTTTTTTCTTTTTAATCTAAAGCCCTCACCATGTACTACCTTTATTAATTACTTGTTGTGCTAGGGATTAAACCCGTGGTTTTAGGAATACTAGGGAGGTGTTCTGCCACAGCACTGCCACTCCTGTCCCTTGTTTTTGGGGGGTTTTGAATTTAAAAAGTGAGCACGTGCGTGCGTGTATGCGTGCGTGCGTGCGTGCGTGTGTAGATCAGAAGACAGCTCTCAGGAGTTTCTGCCACCTTGTGGATCCAGCCCAGACTCAGGTCTTCAGGATGCGTGCCATCTTGCCAGCCCCCAGCCCTTGTTTTTTCAGGACTTGCTATGCAGTCCAGGCTGACCTGGCCCATAGGACCTCTGGTCTCAGTTTGCTGAGTGCTGCGATTACAGATGTGTGCCACCATGCTTGGCATTTTCTTTTTCCTTCTTTCTGCTTTGGCTTTGTAGAACAATGCCTGCTTTGAAAAGTCCTGGCTTTTGCTTTTTAGAATATTCTGGTTTTGTCAGAAAAACAATTGGGCATCTCAGGAACTTCCCTGTCTATTCCTGACTTTGTTTTTCCTAGGAGAACCCTGATAGTGTTCCCTGTACTAGCTACTCTTATTATTTACTTCATGTGTATAAGTATTTTGCCTGCATATATAAGTCGGTGCACTATATGCCTGCTGCCTGTGGAGGCCAGAAGAGAGTGTTGAATCCCCTGGAACTGGAGTTACAAATGGTTATGAGCCACCATGTAGGTGCTGGGAATTGAACTCAGGTCCTCTACAGTCAGTCCTCTAAACCACTGAGCCATCTCTCCAGCCCCAATGATTGTTATTAACTTTTAAAATTACTGTTGCTAGAACTTACTGAGCCTGTGCTGGACACTGAAGAAAATCCCGCCACCTTACAGTCTGTCCTGCCTGTGAAGGCAGTGGAGATAGAAATTGAAACACCGGAGCAGGCGAAGGCACGGGAGAGAAGGTAGGCTGGGCCCGGCTTCTGTGTTCCTGTCCTGAAAACAGGCAGTAGATACACGGAGAAAGCCTTTGCATGTCAGAGGGGAGAGCCTAGGTTTGCCTGTAGGGCTGAAAGGAGACGTGGGGGGCTGGGGGACTGTCTGGGGGGGGATGGGGGTCCATGCCAAGGACTGAGCACTTTGTTCATCTCTTAGTTTACCTGATTCTCAGAGCAGGATTATAAATGAGAGGCTCAGAGAGCTTAAGTGACAGTCCAGGAGCCACTTAGCCAGAGAGTGGAAGACCCAAGACCTAAATCCCTGTAGGTTGATATGACACTCACACTTTTCCTTCCACATATCGCTACAAGAATTGAGATGGTGCCCACTATGGAAGGAGCACACACCCTTCCCAGGGTGCCCAGTTCCTCTGTAGCCTCTGGTGACCTAGGAAAATGGAGCACACAAGATAGTGTTGTTAGGCAGGGAGGAGGGAGGCATTATGTCTTTCAGGAAATGCAAGGCTTTCCTGAAGGTCGATAGGTCCCCGGTGAAAGATTTTGCAGAACAGCCACGTAAATGCCTCTTTTAATTTAATCAGTGTGGTGGTTTGAGGAGGAGTCAGTTAGGATTCTGAAGGAAGGAAACTTGAGGCCTGTGGGTGACGCATAGCGTGTTGGGAGGAGTTGGTCTATAGGCTGCACAGTGTCTAAGAGTGGGTTTACAGATGGGAAATGCTGCATCCAGGGCTGCACAGGAGTCTGTGAGCAGTTTGCAGGTGGAAAGTGTTCCATCCTGCATGGCTACAGGGACAGACCAGACTGGGGCAAGAAAGAAGTGAAGAAAAGACAGAGACATGGACAGAAAGCTGGTCAGGTGGTCTAGGATCTTAGACTGAGAAAGCTCAGTCTTTCAGAAGCTCAGTGTGTTTATTTTGTAGAGTTGAACAGGAAGGCAGGGTTATTACATAGAGATAAACAAAGGAGGCAGGATTTATGGTGGACAGCTGGATCAAGGGAACAGGGTCAGGTCATCTCAGCAGGAGCAGTCTGTAGGGGAGCAGTAAACATGGAGGGGAGCTAGGTGAACATTTCCTGCATACACATTAACATCCATAGGAAGGTGGAGGTTATATAACCCCCCAGGGAAGGTGAAACCTTTGCCTTATCTTTGAGTCTCGTGGGCAAGGGGTAGCTTTGCCATTTTCCCATGAATCCTTGACATGGCCATTCCCATATCAGTAACACACCTAAGGACAGCAGTCACTCAGGGCTTCCTCTTCTCTCCATAGAGAAGGAGCAGATGGTGGCTGCTGCTGAGTTAGCTGAGTGGCACAGCCTTGTATAGGAAGCGGGGCAAGTGGCTCCCATGCCACGGGAGGAGTTGCGGTTTCCTGCTTCAGTCTTGGGTTTCTCACTGTGTTTCAGTGAGAAGATGAAGATGGAGCTGGAGACGTACCTGCGGAGGATGATGAAGCGCTTCAATAAGGAAGTTCAGGAGAACATGCACAAGGTGATGGCCAGAAGAGTGGGTCCAGAGGTGACAGGCCTGCATGAAGTTAGGTGCCATCCTGGGGGCCGGGCTTACAGAAGGCAGCTAAGTGGAGCTCCCTTCACCTTGGTGTGGAGAAGAATGGTGTGCTGAGGGAAGGAGGTGGAGGGAGTAGACAGCTGTATGTGGAGGTGGAGAGAGCACACAGCCTTACTGTCATTGCAGGAAGTTGTGAAGGGTGAGCTTGAGGTTGGAGGGCAGGAGCTAAGGAGGGTGCCTAGTAATGGAGGGTGGGTGCAGATGAGCAGGATGATTGATGCCTGGCCTCCAGTTGGTTCTCTGAGCAGCCTGTTTGCACTCACTGCAGCAGACTCAGGTGGTGTGACGCTCCATCTGAAAACCCTGTAGTGTGCCTGTAAAAGGGATTGTTGCTAAGAGGGAAAGTTCTTTTTGTGAACTGATGAATTCTTCGAGGGAGTGAGAAGAGAGGAGACACAAAGCCTTGGGATATGGCTGATGCCAGCCTTTGTACTTGCTGTGTGTAGAAGCATAGCCGATGTTTCCTGTCAAACTTGCCAGCAATATCCCTGCTGTCTTCAGCTCTCCCTCCATGCTGGGCTCTTGCTCCCCACTTCTCAGGTTCACCTATTGTGCCTGCTGGCCAGTGGCTTCTATCGAAATAGCATCTGCCGCCAGCCAGATCTGCTGGCCATTGGCCTCTCAATCATCCCAACTCACTTTACCAAGGTGCCACTTCAAGACAGGGACATCTGCTTCCTCTCAAACCTGGTGAAGTGGTAAGGCTATCTACTGTCCTCCGGAGCTGGCATATAGGGTTGGATTTCTCTTGGGCTGGTTCAGGCCAGTTCTGTAGTGATCAGCTGGCATCAGGAAGGGGCATGACATTGAGGAGAGGTAAGCATTAGGATGACCGTGACCTAGAAGAGAGCCTGGGCTGGCAGGGGACCCATATGCACTGTATACTTAGAGTCATATGAGGAGTTCTGAGGCAAAGGAATGCAGGAAACAGGGTGCTTCCCTCAGGTGGGCAGTATGGAAAGAGTGCCCAAGTAGGTGGTCTTCAGTGATAGTCAGCTTTGGCTAACAGGGTTGAGAAGAGCCATTGTAGGTAGGTGAGTCTAGAAGTCACTTGCTACTTTTTTTTTTTTTAGTTATGGTTTTTTGAGACAGGGTTTGTCTGTAGCTTTGGAGCCTGTCCTGGAACTTGCTCTGTGAACCAGGTTGGCCTCAAACTCACAGAGATTTGCCTACTTCTGCTTCCTGAGTGCTGGGATTAAAGGTGTGTGCCCCCCTCCTCCCGCAGCTTGCTGTTGGTTTTGTTGGCTGTAAAAGACTAGAACTTCTCCTTCACCTTGACCCCTCTATAGAAAAGTACCTGGTCTCTTCCCAGGTTCATTGGAACCTTCACAGTCAATGAGGATCTTTCGGCCAGTGAGCAGGACAGCCTGCAGACAACCTTGGAGAGGAGAATCGCCATTTACTCTGTGAGGGATGAGGAGGAGTTGGTTCATGTAAGTGGTTCCTCTAGTGGTACTGCTCATTAACAGGAATGAAATATGTCATCATCCTTGGAGGATGCCTGTTAGCTGCACAGAGACTGGACTTTGCATTTGCATGTCTGGCCTTAGACCTCCTGCGATTTGGTTTTGAAGAATGTAATAATACCAGGTACTGTCATCCTCATTACCCTCTCATCAGCTTGTTAGAGCTGTGGGAAAGGAGAAGCAGGGGTTGCCTCAGGTGAAGAACCTTTGTTGGGGCACCACACAGCTGGTAGCCCATGCTAGTTTATTCCTGCCCTATCTCCAAGGAACTAAGAAGCTACCTGGGAGCAGTGTTGCCAGCCAGACTACAGACAGTACCAAGCCTTGCCTTTTCCTGTGCAGGACACCCCGCTGCACTGAGTTGTTGAGTCCCTTAATTTCTTCTAGATTGGATGGCTTTTTGGTCTTTATCTTTGGTGGTCTTCACAAGTTTGCAGGGATATGTCAGGGATTAGAGCCAGGGACTTGAGGGTGCTAAGCGTGCTCTGCCATTGAGCTGCTTCCCTCAGCTCTTGCTTAGTTCAGACAGGGTCTCTGATGTAGCTCAAGCTGGCCCAGAATCATGACTTCTGCCTCAGTCTCCTGGGCGCTGGGTTAGGGATATATGCCACCACCATAGGACTGCTGCTTTACATGACGCTTTTTTAAAATCCAGATAAAGGAAGTCACAGTAATAGCTTTTCCATGGTCACATGGCTTGTGAGATGGCCTACCTTCCTATTTCCGGTCTTCACCTCTTTCTCACCAGGGTGTTATAGTAACTGATGAGAGTGGTCAGGAGCTAGTGTGGAGGTCTGGGGGAGACCTTACTGCAGTGTATTATTGATGTCACCATGAGGCTTGTCCCTGAGGGGACAGCTCCCATCCTCACAGGTCAGAGCTATGGCCTCCAGGTAAAAGATTCAGTGTGGGGAGTACAAAAGAGAGAGCAGACGTGTAACCTGGCGAATCTGTATTTCCACATTTTCTTCCCTGACTGCTTCATTTTACTTTCTATAACACGTGTTGACTACAGGCCAATGAAAAGAGAAGTAAGCAGGAAGAGACTCTGACAATATGTAGCCAGTGACAGGTGCTGTCGAGTGTACAGCTCGTCTATATTTATGTGTAACCCTGCTTAGGAAAATGGTGACTTTTCCTGTGAGCTGGGTCTCTGCAGTGTCGTTTACCACAGTGTCCCGAGGGCTGGTGCCCTGTCCCGGGGTGGTTTCCACCCTCTCCTATCTAAGCAGCAGAGTGCATTGGGTTAGCCTCCTTACATTATCCAGTTACATATATCCTGTCTTGTCATCATAGATATTTCTTCTGATTCTTCGGGCTCTGCAACTGCTCACACGACTGGTGTTGTCTCTACAGCCCATTCCACTGAAGTCATCTGTGACAAAGGTGAGGTCCTTGGTCCTCTAAAGAAAAGGAGTTGCCACCAGGAAAGAGTGAGGAAATTGCATATTTAAAAGAAAATTGGCCATTACCATTTTTTATTATATTGATCTTACGTGTGTGTGTGTGTGTGTGTGTGTGTGTGTGTGTGTGTGTGTGTGTATGTATGATGATACCTATGGAGGTCAGAGGACAATTTACGGACATTGGCTTTTCTTCCAATGTGTGAATCCTAGGAATTGAACTCAGGTTGTCAGGCTTGGCACTGAGCTATTTTTCCAGTCTAATGATGTCATACTTTTAAGAGTTGGTATTCATGCAGCCTGGGCTCCTTTGAGCCTGCTTTGCACGTCCTCTGTGTTGGAGGAGATGGACACACAAGTGAGTGGTTAGCACCCTGAGCTTGGTGTGCACCGAGTCATCTGAGAGGGTTGGTTTCCGGGCTGTTGTTTCTAGCCTGCGGACCAAGTAGAGAGTCGCCCGTCCTCACGAGCACAGTGGAGGGCTGGTGGGTAAATGACTCTGCCTTCTGAAATATGTGAGGAAAGATGTCAGTGCTGCCCAACTGGGGTGTCTTGTCATCTAATTCCTGCAATAATGGAGGTTAGTTATCATAAGCTAGCTAAATTATGGAAAACTAAGACAGAAAACAGCAAAATTAATATCTCTCTCCCTCCTCTTTCCTGCTCTGTTTTTTGAGAGAGAGTCTCATCTAGCTCAGATTTGCCTCAGAGTCACTGTAGTTGAAGATGACCTTGAACTCCTGATTATCCTCCCTGTACCTCCCAAGTACTGGAATCGCAGGTATACAGCATGATGCCCAGGTGTACCAAAATTTCTTATTGTTTCAGGGGAAGAAATCTTCCAAGGAGACATCCTTAGAGAGTCCTGGAGGCTCTTCAGAACCTTCCAGTCAAGTTCTAGAAAGCCACAACAGACCCAAGACCAGCAAAAGAATCAAACAAGAGGAAACCTTTCCTGAGGACAGTGACAAGACAAATGCCAGAGGAAAGAGAAGCAAGGCTGTGGGCAGCAGGCAGAGGAGAAAGCCCTCCGGCAGTGAGGGAGAGGAAGCCAAGCCGAAAACCCAGAGCCGTGTACATGCCCGGCAGCGGCGGGTGACCGCCAAGGTGTCTTACAAAGAGGAGAGTGGGAGCGATGAGGACAGCAGTGGCTCTGATTTTGAACTCTCCAGCGGCGAAGGCCAGCATTCCTCTGATGAGGATCGAAAGCAGAAGAGGACCCCAGTTCCTCAGAGGACAAAGGCCAGGTCCCAGAGTGCCTCCAAGCATGACCCACCAAGTTTTCCAGCAGCATCTTCAAGCTCTTCAGGCAGCAAGAGAGGCAAGAAGGTTTCCAGTGGTGGCGAAGAGACAGGAGATAGGAAAGCCGCTGGTGTTGACCAGTGGCTGGAGGTGTTCTGTGAGCCACAAGCAAAGTGGGTGTGTGTGGACTGTGTGCATGGTGTGGTGGCCCAGCCTCTGACCTGTTACAAATATGCCACCAAACCCATGACCTATGTTGTAGGCATTGACAATGATGGCTGGGTCCGAGATGTCACTCAGAGGTATGACCCAGCCTGGATGACTGCAACCCGCAAGTGCCGGGTTGACGCTGAGTGGTGGGCTGAGACCTTGAGACCCTATCAGAGCCCACTTAAGGAGAGGGAGAAGAAGGAAGACCTGGAGGTAAGACACGGCTGCCCAGGGCAGGCTCAACACTGGGCAGCAGTCAGGCTGTCCTTTTCTGCTCACAACCATGCCCAGTAGTATGCTGGTATCTTGGTGTGGTTTAATGATATAGTTCTGAATATATTTATATTAGCCATAGAAATATGTGCTTTTCTATTTATTTGATTATATGTAATTATCACACCAACATTTGGCTTACATATTCCCCTCATAGTCTATCCTTGAGGGCAGGAACTCAAGCAGGAGTAGAGGCGGAACCATGGAGGAAGGCTGCTTACCGACTTGCTCTGTGCTCACATCCCTTTATACCTTGCAGGACCACTCGCTCAGGGTGCACTTCCCACAGTGGGCTGGGCCTCCGACATCAGTCGGCAGTCAAGAAAATGTCCCATAGACTTGCCCATAGGCCAATCTGATGGAGGCGATTCCTCAGTTGGGGGTTCCCTCTTCCCAGATATGTCTAGGTTTGTGTCAAGTTGGCAAAAAACCCAAAAAAACAAAAACAAAAACAACAATCAACACAATGGTGCCAGTCTGTAAGAGCTCCCTGGTGTTTTGAAGGGAGGCCAAGAGAAGGCTTAATCCAGCTTGGGAAACAGCATTTGCTTTATAGCAGTGGGATTTCCTCTGATAACCAGAATTGTTAGTGACGTGCAAGGCTTGTGTGAGTATCAGAAAAGCTGCAGGGCGGTTGCCGTAAGCCTTCGAACCTGCTTTTGCTGTAAGATGACGATGCCACTGAGGTCAGGCCTTATAGTAGAGAAGTTGGCACTCTCTCCTGTGAAGATATGGAGTAGAGTGGACTTGTTCTGTTAAGGCTTAGGTGTCTGAGGATTGGAGACAGGTGCTTTTCTGATGCTGGTGCATATCACACCTACTAGTGCTTCTTGGGTTAGGGTTTATCCTTGGTGCCTCTCACAACCATAGTGACTGGCAATGTCACTGATGGGTCTGGACTCCACAGTTTGTTGTTAGAACAGGTTCATGTATACCAGCCCACTCATATCCCCTTCCGTGCTCACCAGAGTCTGTCTGGCCTTTGCAGTTTCAGGAGAAGCACCTGGACCAGCCTTTGCCCACCTCCATCAGCACATACAAGAACCACCCTCTCTATGCCCTGAAGCGTCACCTCTTGAAATTCCAGGCCATCTACCCAGAGACAGCTGCAGTCCTTGGGTATTGTCGGGGAGAAGCTGTCTACTCCAGGTGTGTGAAGCATCCTCCTTGTCCTCCTGGTGGCCTGGGACTAGCACCTGTTGCATAGGTTCTGCCATTAACAGTATTCTCAGGGGTGAGACACGGTATGTGTGTACTGTGAAGAAGAAATTAGAGCTCACAAATCAAAACATGTACCAAAAGGCCAAGAGCAGAGAGCTGAGGGGAAATGTATGTAAATGTGGGTCAGCTAAAATATAAGGCCATAAGAAGTGCTCCTCTTAGCTAATGCACATCAAAACAGAAGGGAGGGAGTGCCGAGCCCTATCTGTAATGAACAAGGTGGCCACACAACAGTAAGTGTGCCTGGTGCTGCTGGGCTTGTCCTCAAGAGTGGCTGGAAAGGTGCTCTGTGTGTGCTAGAGTACTGCAGGCAAAAGAAGCCACCAGAAAAGTACCTTAAGTAAAAACGAATGTACGATATTTACAAAGTGAAAACTGGAGAAAGATGAATAGAATTTAGAGCTGAGGGGAAAAGATAGAAGCAGAGATTTTGAGCATTAGTAGTAGAAAACAAATGAAAGAAGGGATTTTTAAAAACACTGAAGTGCAAGAACCAAAGCATAGAAGCTGCTTTAAATAAATGGGAAACAAGAGGCACAGACAAGAAATGTAGAGACCCCTCATGTGGGTAAGCCCTCTGACGGTGAACAGGTCCTGCTTTGAGCCCTGTTGGGGAGTCACACCAGACCTTTACCCTTGAGTCACTTTCCTGACCTCTCCTTCCTTAAAACTGAGTATTCCCTGCCTGAGAGGGAATTGTTCATGTCAGTGGTTGCTCAGGCCCCTCCTCTAGGCTGTTGGGAGCAATGCTGCCATGTATGTTAGTTGAGTCCATGTTTTGCATACTGTAGAAATTTATGGAAAATGGCTGAACTGTTTCCTCAGTGGCCACACCATTCACATCTCCCCTTCCCCCAGCACAATGGTGCCAGTCACTGTCCTCACCAGAAGTCAAGGGAATAGCCATTCCAGTAATTAGAAGCTGCCATTCAATCGGAGTGCTGTGTGCACTTCCTGGCTTTGTTTCTTAGGAGTAGCCACAGGATGCTTATCAGTGAACCTCTGCACATTACCTTGTCTGTCCCTTTCTGAGTCCTTTAGGCCATCAAAGATGATCTGGCTCCAGTGGAGTGCAGGGTGAGCCTCTGTCCTAACAGAAGTGCTACCCCAGCAGCAACCCTGTGAGGTAGAGGATGAGCTGCTCATCCTGGCTGATGAACAAGGCTGCTGAGGCTTAGGAAGGTGGAAAGGGACTGCCTAGCTCTCAGTGGAGTCCCCATGCTGCGCTGGGCTGGGCTGGGCTGCAGGTTTGATAAACAGCACTAGAAAGCACATGAGCAAAGCTCAGGTCGTGGAGCAGGTTCCTGATGTCTGGAGATCCGATGCAAGCTGAAGAGGAGCTGGGCATGTCTGTTGAAAAAGGCTTGGCAATGGAGGATTGTAGGCCTGTGGTATGGCGCTGAGCTCAGGGATGGTGAACCCAGACAGACTGCCCTAAGCACAGGCCCCGAGTCATTTGTTGCTTGTATATGCATCTCCCTCCACCACAGTCTGTTCACTTCTTCAGGTAGTTTCCCATAGTCTTCTGAGTTTACCTCAGCATTCACATGTCCCCATGTTGTTGAGCAGTGGGCAACCCTCAGCAGTTACTCCTTGGTGAGTGTTGCCACCTGCTGGTGCTGGCTTTCACCTTATACCACAAGCCACAGAGAGAGCTTGTCCTGGGAAAAGGGCAGCCGAAGCTAGGTATGAAGCCTCAGGAAGAAAGCTCCAGCTGGGTGAGGGCCGCAGGGGGGCACAGGCAGTCTGAAGTGAGGCTGTTTGCACTGTGTGGTACAGGAAGGGCCTGCTCCAGGTGAGAGGGAAAGCCTGGGAGGAGAATTGGCAGGGCTGTGCCCACCTCAGCTATATACAAGCTCAGGTGAGACCCAGAGAGGCCTTCCACTTCCAGTGTGCACTGAGTGTGTCCTTCATCTTCCCTAGGGATTGTGTGCATACTCTGCACTCCAGGGACACATGGCTGAAGCAAGCAAGAGTGGTGCGACTTGGAGAAGTGCCCTACAAGGTAAGCGAGCTGCCTGCAGGGACAGAGATCTTGCTGGCTACAAGAGTTGGGGAGGAGAGGTAGTGAGGAAGTGCTGCTGGATAGGCATGCCCAGTTAGGCAGCCGGAAATAGCCTGCTCTTTGCCTTGAGCAGGGTTTGAGGAGATAAGCATTTAAAGTACTGATAAGGCATTTTTAGGAAATAGATTTTCCAAGTAAGAGCTGTAGGCCAAAAAGTAGCTTGGAGACTCATGCTGTGAGCTTGATGGCCAGCAGGTTAGAGCTGGGTTGCTGGGTTATTCTGAAGTCCAAGCTCTGCTTCACAGAGAGGTTACCCTGTATGACAGTTTACCAAGCATTTTGCTTATATGTGATCTGTTGCATTCCAGTGACCCTAGAAGTCAAAGCCATGATGTCAGTTTTACAGATGAGAAAGGTAAAGTTCAGATAGAATATGATTTGCCAGTAGGCCTTGCAATTAGTAACATCCCGGGTTCAGCAGGACTCATAGGCCCTGCTCTTAGCACTTGTCTCTGACTCTAAGGACATCTTTAGGTCAGTTACCTATGAAGGCCATGAACTCAGCAAGGTGTTATAGACATTCCTCCAGGCATTGGCTCAATCATGATAGCAGAGCACAGTGGCCATTATATACCCATTTACTGTTCTTTGTCAGATTACAGCAGAGTCCTGGTGGGTCAGAACCTTGGTGGGGCTGTAACTGTGGAGCTGGTGGTGGGCCTCAGCTTGGTGGGAAGTGGTGGCAGGATTTAATAAAGGCTGCTACCAGTAGTGGCTTGAGTGCATGGAGCTGCCTGCTGGACCCAGAGGCCTGCTGGGAGCTGCCTTCTACCTTTTCCCTTGCAGACTAGTGCTATCCAGTGGAATTACAGTAAGAGTCAGGCATTTACAAGTTTTAGTAGTCAAAATGGCCCATGCCTTTAACCCAGCACCTGGGAGGCAGAGGCAGGTCAGATCTTGGAGTTTGAGGTCAACCTGGTCTGCAAAGTTAGTTCCAGGACAGTCAGGGCTATTATATAGAGAAACCCTGTCTTGGAAAACAAAACAACTCCCCCTTTTTTTTTTTTTTTTTCTTTTTGAGAGAGGGTCTCTTTGTGTAACCCTGGCTGTCCTGGAACTCACTCTGTACCGACCAGGCTGGCCTTGAACTCACAGAGATCTGCCTGCCTCTGCCTCCCGAGTGCTGGGATTAATGATGTGCGCCACCACCACCCAGCAAAAAGTGATTTTCTTTTCTTTTTGTTTTTTATTGTTGTTGTTTTGGTTTTTTGAGACAGGGTTTCTCATTGTTTCTTTGGTTGTCCTGGAATTTGCTGTGTAGACCAGACTGGTCTCAAGCTCACAGAGATCCACCTGCCCCTGCCTCCAGAGTGCCACCACTACCCAAAACACCAATTTTTAGTATCCATATAAAAATCACAAAAAGTATTTAAATATATTCAAAATAACATTTTAATGTGTTATATAAATATGTAAAAATGTCTGAGATACTTAAATTTCATACAGTCCTTACATGTAATTCTGTGTGTAACTTTCAGTATCTCAGTTCAGACAAGTCCCCTCATTAGTCATATAACAGCACACTTCTAGAATGACCCCAGATTTCTCCCTTTGTTCTGATTTCCATCATCCTGGCTTCTGCCACAGTGACTCATTTTTGAGTAATGGTCAAGTCTCCTTCCTAGATCAAATGCATTGCCTGTGTTACAGTTCTGTGGGCATAGTGCCCTGTGTGGCCAACCTGCCCTAGCTGCCCATCACATCAGTCAGTGGCCTCACGTAGTTCATGATTGATGCTGTGGCACCCCTCTCCTTTTTAGACCATGTTCAGACCCCAGATGAAGCTGCTCCCCCTGTCCTGGGGTCCTAAATGCCCTTTCTCCCAGTCGTGTTCTAATCAGTCTTTCCTGCTGCAGTTCCCATTCTATCCTGCATTCCTTACACCCCATACAGCCTGAGCTCTGTCAGCAAGCACTGCCTCTTCCCCATCTGTGTCCATGAGTGCTGTGGTGTTATCTCAGAGATGCTCAGTAACCTCACAGAACGCTGCTGGGTGAACAGTGGCCTGCTTTGCTTTCTGATGCTGTGGTAACTACCATGATCAGAAGCAGGTTGCAAGAGGGAAGGGCTTATTTGGCCTACTCTTCTATAGTACAGTCCATCATTGAGAGAATTCAAGGCAGGAACCATGGAGAAACTCTGCTTACCTGCTTGCTCAGCTAGCTTTCTTACATTGCCCAGACCCACCTGCCCGGGTATGGTGCTACACACTCTAGGCTGGGCCCTGTCACATCAGTCATCAATCAGGACAATCTCTTTCAGATGGCTGAAGGCAAGTCTGATCAGGGTAATTCTCAAGTTGAGGTCCCTCTTCCCACGTGACTCTAGGTCGTATCAAGTTAAAGTAAAACCTACCCAGAGCAAACAACTACTTTAGGAAACTGTCAGGACCAAAAGTCTGCAGAGTCCCACAGGGGTGGTTGAGAGGTTATGTCCCCGAGGATTAGACTTGCACAGTGGTGTATAAGATGTAGCTTGGACCATACCAAGCTTGAGTCCCTTCGGTGGGCTTTTCATCTAAAGACTGCTTTTCTCAAAGGTGTTTTGTTTAGTTTTTTCTCCCCAAGACAGGGTTTCTCTATGTAGCCTTGGCTGGCCTGGAGCTCTCTCTGTAGACCAGGCTGGCCTCAAACTCTGAGATCCACCTGCCTCTGCCTCCTGAGTGCTGAGATTAAAGGTGTGCCGACCACTGCCTGGCTGGTTTTCTCAAAAGTTTTTAAAAGGAAAAGAATTAAAGGATGAGAGAGGCCTTATGTAACCGTTTACCAGCAAAGCTTGCTAAGATGGCCCCTGCACTAGAACAGCCTGTGTGCCGAGGCCCAGGAACCCATCCTTAGCCCATTGCCTGCGCTGCCCTTCCTGTGTTATGCAACTTCATTTTGCCACTCCCCTCCTCCCACCCCTTAACTCCCTAGGAAGAATCTAGGTCTTGGCTGCTAGGCCTTTGCTGTGCACTGGACATCCTGACAAGACACTGCTTTCCACAGGCGACACTAGGGTAGATAGCTGTTGATCACTCTACAGAGATGGGGAGTTATCTGGGTTAAATCCTATAAGCCATGGTACCTTAAGTAAGTCACTTCATCTCTAAGGCTATTTTTTCATTGTAATGGAAGTGAGAACTTAGGACAGAACTTAAAATCCTTCTTGAGCTGTGACTTTAGGCATATCACTCGTGCCTGTATTGCACGTCTGGAAAGTTGACAGAATAGCGAGTGGGCCACACCTCTTAGCTCACTGAGATTAGTAATATGAAGCATGGACGTCAGACATGATGACACTCCTGTAATTCCAGACTCAAGCAGAGGCAGGAGGATCAGGAGTTGGAGACCAACCTGGGCTACAGAGGGAAGTTTTGTTTTAGCCTCCCCTCCCTAAAGGAAAGAGGCAGCACAGAGAACATGCAGTGCCCTGCAGGAGCTAGTGGAGGCACACTTGTGTCAGAATGACAGCGCTCAGTGCCTGGTGTGGACTGAGCGCCCAGAGCAGAAAGCCTTTCTTAAAACCTGGCCATTTCTTCTGGAGTAGATGGTGAAAGGCTTCTCCAACCGTGCCCGGAAAGCCCGGCTTTCGGAGCCCCAGCTGCATGACTACAATGACTTGGCCCTCTATGGTCACTGGCAGACAGAAGAGTATCAGCCCCCTGTGGCTGTAGACGGGAAGGTAAGGACAGCTCTGGGGGGGGTCAGAGCAGGCTGCCCTGTTTTCCATCCAGCTACATCCTGGCATGCCCATCTCTGCAGGTGCCTCGGAATGAGTTTGGGAACGTGTATCTCTTCCTGCCCAGCATGATGCCTATCGGCTGTGTCCAGATGAACCTGCCTAACTTGCACCGTGTGGCCCGCAAGCTGGGCATCGACTGCGTGCAGGCCATCACTGGCTTCGATTTCCATGGAGGCTACTGCCATCCAGTGTGCGTGAGGGACCTTCGGTGGCAGGTGGGGAGGCTGAGGCTGGTGGCACTTATTTTCCAGATTTATCTCCTAATCAGTCCCAGCTTCTAACAAGCAGCAGCAGACCCAGTGCAACAAGTGTCCTGGTCCTTCTAGACTGACGCACTGCCCCCTAGTGCTGGTCACAGGCTGCAACCAAACCATGATCCTTGCTTGCTTCTTGAGTTCTCCTGTGTGAAGTGAGGACCAGGGTTGAGGATTCTCACTCTAGCACTCAGGCAGGGGCTGTGGAGGAAGAGGTACAGGTTCCCACAATCCTGCCTCCTGCATGAGTGGCATCTGTCACTGGCTGGCCAGCAATGTCCATCAGGGCCCCAAGTACTCAGAAAGGGTCACTGGCTTCTGAACAAGAAGGAGTAGGGTAGGTGGCAGCTCAGGGAGCTCATCTGTATTACTGTCCCAACAGAACTGAGGGTTACATTGTCTGTGAGGAATTCAAAGACGTGCTGCAGGCTGCTTGGGAGAACGAACAGGCCATCATTGAAAAGAAGGAGAAGGAGGTGAGTAGTATGAATGGGGACTTGGAGGAGAGCGGCAAGTCCCAGCTGTCCCCCGTCCAGGCCACTCCTGCATCACGGAAGAAGATGGCAAAGTCCGTGCGTTAGCTCTTCTGGTGCTGACTTGGTGGAGTCAGGGCTTAGTCCTGGGTAAACAGCTCCCTCCCACGCTCCATGTCCACTGTCCCGTCCCCTACTTGCCTGCATGCAAGCTCAGGTACTGTGGGCCCTGACTTGGAAGGCCCAGGTCCTAGACCTGATTGCTGCCTTCTGGTCAGTGTTAGTTATAAAAGACTTGGTTACTGATGGCTTTTACATTTGTCGCTTACTAAATCTGACTTATGGCTTGGATGCAAGACTTGGTGTGATGGGAGACCCTGTGTTTTCCTCTGTGTGTGTGTGTGTGTGTGTGTGTGATGTATATGCATGCTTGTGGTGGGGTGCACCGATGCATGTGGAGGCCCAAGGTTACTATCTGGATCTACTTCAGTCACTCTACCACCTTATTCATTGAGGAAGAGTTAGCCACTGATAACTAGCCAGCTTGTTCTGGGCGTCCTGTCTCTACCCTCTGAGGTTGGAATTGCAGGCAGGCCTGTCACACACACAGCATTTATGTGAGTTCTAGGGACCCAAACTGTCCTTACAGTTGTGCAGCAAATGCTTTAAGCACTGGGCATCTCCCCAGGCAGGAAGACTCTCCCAACCTGAATTCAGACAGATGTCTGAACATCAGACTCTGCCTTAACATTTCTCTGATAATGCCATGGCTTCACCTTTCCTACTTTTATTTCTGCCTGCAGAAGAAGGAGAAGCGGGCGCTGGGGAACTGGAAGCTGCTGGTCAGAGGACTGCTCATCAGAGAGAGGCTGCAACTCCGATACGGGGCCAAGGTCAGCATGGGGCCTTTGTAGACAAAACAGCCTGGTTACCACTCAGTCACTGGCCCAGAAGTCTGCTTTATATTAGGAAGTCTGTCTGTTGGCCTCAGCTAGCAGTTCCTGCCCTGCCCTGCGCCCTGTTAACCTGGACCCTGTGCTTGGTCTAGTTTGCTGCAGAGATCCATGTAGGCAGTCCAGGTGTGTTGGGCCTTCTGTACCTGCTTCTTGGCTTCCAGGTTCCCAGTACTGTGACCAGCTTTGGGCCTGCACATTCCACACACCTACAGTGCCTGTCTAAAGTGCTGGGTTATGGGATGGTTTTCATCTCTGTACAGGCAGAACCTAGAGCAGTTGTGTGATGGGTACTAAGTCAGAGTCATCCGGCCGTGCCCTAAATGTTCTTTTCCGTTTATGATCTCCCTTCCCATTGCCTATTTGCCTGCTAAAGACATTAGTCATGTGCTCATTTGAATCGTGTTAGGGACCCTTTCATCTGGCTTGTTCTTACTGGCTCCTGGCTGCCCCAGCTATCCTAGCCAGCCTCCACGGGTACCATCTCAGATCCTTTAGTGCTGAAGTTTGATTCTGAGCACTGAACAGTTGGAAATAGCACGCATGTGTGTCAGAGTGAGGGGACATGCACAGCAGCAGCTGCTTGCCTGCCTGGGCACCCTCTTTCCACCAGCAGTTCTCACTTAAGTACCTGCTTGGGTGAGCTCCTAGGCTGAGGAAGGCCAGTAAGGCTGCCTGGACTCTCCCAGCACCACCCAGAACCCTTGTCTTCCAAGACTAGGTTCTGGGGAACTTTGCTGCCTTTTAAAGTCAGCCAGTCACGAATTGTGGCCCCTCCACTGTCTCCCTGCAGAGCGAGGCAGTGGCTTCCCATGCAGATGCAGGAGGTGGACTCTCTTCTGATGAAGAGGAAGGGACCAGCTCACAGGCAGAAGCAGCAAGAGTCCTGGCTGCCTCCTGGCCACAAAACCGAGAAGCTAAAGAAGAGCAGAAGCCTGAGTGCTCTAAGATGACCCGGAAGAGGCGGGCGGCAGAGGCTTCCCATCTCTTCCCATTTGAGAAGCTGTGAAGTGCCTGTCCACCAGGCCAGGCGGCAGTTCTTGTCTGTGCAGAAGGCAGACACCTGATGGCCTGGGAACTACAGGCCAAATGGAAGTTATGCTGCAGATCTGTCTGATGCCAGCCCAGCCAGATCCCCATGGGATGGTCCTGGAAGCTGCCCAGAACCCACTCTGGGGTTTGGAACACTTTCCTGGGAGATACTTTCTGACCCGTGGACCTTGGTATTCCCATCTTTGGAAATGTGAGCTTGTTTTGGAGAGTCTTATCTGTTGTCCCAGCTGGCTTCAAATTCAAAATCCCCCTGCCTTAAACCAAGGGCTGACTGATATAACAGGCATATGCAACCATGCCTAGCCTGTTTTTTACTTCATTTTTTAAATAGAAACCACTGGGAAATTCTGGGTATTGGAGCATTGAGGACACACACACCCTTCTTTCGTGCTGTTCACACCTGAGATGCTTTGCTCTCCTCTCCTGCAGGTCCCGGGGCATTTGCTTTTCAGGCCTTACTTTTCCAGTACTGCCCGGTGCTCTTTTGTCAGAGACGCAGGATATCTCTTGTCAAGGCACTTTTGGGATTGATTTTACAGTTGTAGAAGACTAAAACAAAGAGCTAAAATCAAGAAAGAAAAGGAAAAACAAATGGAGAATTATGAAAATAGCAAAGACTAGTTAGACTACATTTTGTTCATTTCTGGATACATTTATTCTGTACGATACATTTACTTAGCTGCTATATGCCAGCTACTCAGGAGAAAGCCCTTTTATAAAACCTTGACAGAAAATAAAGCATTTACCTAAAAGCACTTGGCTGCCATTTTGTTTCAGGTCTTAAACCGCTAAGAGGATCCAGGTAACAGACTTATGTGTGTGGTGAGACATGGAGAAAGCTCAGGATTGTTTTCATGGATGCTGGGAACTCCTTACACGCCAAGGAAGCTTTTTGTGTATGACTATACTCAATATACTTCACTTTGAGTCTTTAAAATGTTGAGTCACTGCTGGGCAGTGATGCTGCATGCCTTTAATCCCAGCACTTAGGACACAGAGGCAGGTATATCTCTGTGAGTTCAAGGCCAGCCTGGTCTACAGAGTGAGTTTCAGGACAGGCTTTAAAGCTACACAGAGAAACCCTGTCTCAAAAAAAAAAAAAATGTTGAGTCACTCTTACCAAGGCAAACAAAACACTTGGAGTATGACTCATATTAGATGCTCTGGTAGAGAAACAGACTAGGGTCACCATGGAAACTGTATTCTCATACTTCCTGCACCAGAGCCTGACAGGCCTCCTAAAAATGATTTCATTTTGGGGATTTTAGTTAGGCATGGCCATGTTTCTGGAAATGTAACCTATTGTGGCAGGTGTCAGCTATGAGACGACATGATGGTAATGGCATGTTAGGTTTAGAAAGTCTGCCTGCTAGGTAACAGCATGGCAGTGCTTCAGACAGGAAGAAAGCAATTAAGAGATGCCATACGATAGGCACTTGGGCTTCAAATTATTTACTCATTACAGCCATGTATGATGACAGGCTGTCCCCATCTTAACAGATGCAACAGATTGGCCCAACACCACGAGCCAGTAGGACAGACTTCATCTGTGTGACACTCAAAGCCAGTGCTTTCAGCACTGCATCATACTTCTAGCATATTCTCAAGGTTTGTGAAGCATGAGTCATTTACTTTAAATAGAGCCAAGACAAAGCAGGCTTGAAGGTGAGCTGCCCTTTTGGAAAGAACTGAAACCACTTAGAGCAACAAAGAAATGAGTCTGACCCCCGCCCAAACAGACTACTGGCAAGATCTTATACCAAAAGATAGGTAGAAATTTATTTCAGATTTTAATACAAAGAATACAAACTTCAGTTTTTTCAAAGACATCAAATTATTCTTCCATAATTTGCTCTTAAGAACTTTTAAGCTGACAAAACCCATATAAGAAAAATTTACAGTCTGAATCCCAAGGATTGTGTATTTAGCTATCACTAATTGTACCATGTTTTCCCAAACCATCTTTTGGAGTTTAGATGAGACTGCACCAGTATGCACTGAGCAGTAGTGACTATCATCTCCATCCTAAACCCAGCAAGCCATCTCTGGCTGCACTTTCACCAAGAACCACAGCTGAAAGCACAGATACCACAGGACATGAGAGGGACTGTTATATATCACTAGGGTCAAGGGTTCTGTCACCTTAGTCAGCTACCAAACACAGCCATTGGCTACAGCAGCCACTAGGGCAGTTTGCAAATAGAATTGAGATAAAGGATAAACCAAGGATATATAATGACATCATGGCTAAGTATCCCTTCAAAGGTGTAATAGTAGAGAGGAAACTTAGAAATTATGTCCATTAGTATGGGTGAATTTTATTTGGGATGAGGAAAGTGATGGGCATGAAATCCAAAAAGAACCATTATGCTGAAACTACTTGAGGCTGGAGTGTCAAGGTCAAAAGCATTCCCAGGGAAAAAGGCTGGGCCAGGCCAGACATGGGTTTCCTCCAGCAAGCCTGACCTTCAGTTAACTGGAGGTCACAGTGAATAAGCCCTCTTAGTAGGAAAGCTTCCAGCCTTTTTCTGTAACACTGACTACAAACTCAAAATGACCTTCAAGTGAACAGGTGGTCTGTAATGGCAGAGGATAACGGGGGTGCTTCCTCCACTATCCCAGCCCTGCATGAAAGAATCTGCTAACACTGATTCAAAAGCATTGCAAAGCTAAAGCTTCCTTCCCCAAGGCCTCAGGAACTAAAAACCAGTCAAGCCACACCCACTGAGACACCATTCCTGCTGAGTTCATCTCCTTGACGGCAACTGTCAAATGGGAGCCATTCACAGGGGTTTTAAGTCTTAACTCCTTGGGATAGAAAGAACACACGAAGAGGTGGAGTAACAGAACCAGAGGTGTGAGGGCTTACACCAAAACTCCGTCCAGCCACAGTGACAGTGACCTTTGGGATAACACAGATTGTCGGTGTTTCTTTAGTCCGCATCAGGTTCTACCCAGAGACTTGGTTTAGGGTGGACCTTCTCCAGGCCTGGGGACGGTGTCACACTGATGAGATGTGGCCAGAAGTAGTGGGTGACGCCTGCATTCTGGGGTTTCAGCTGTAGGCGGAGGTTGTGGCAGTCCTGGCACTTGGTTTTGGCAATGAGGGATGGGCAGTAAGAAGGCCGAGTCCTTCACCAGCAGGTCAGCTGATAGCCAAGTGGAATAAAGCCCTGAGAGGGGAAGGCATTAAGCAGGACAGTACTTGCTGGGTCACCATCCTCAGGCTGCTTCTGCCCAGCAAAGCTGCATTTTGGCCACCAAAGCTGCATTTTGGCAAGAAGTGGGGTGGAGAAGATGTGAGCTGGTGAACGCCAAACCCTACATGCAGGTGTAGACACTGGCCCCTTGAAGAGTGGGGTGTACAGATGCCTGTCTCAGCTGGAGCTGGACAGAGGTGACAGGCTGAGGCTTCACTCCAGCTTTTTGGCTGGCACCCAGGTCCGTGCAATGATTATGGGCACCAGAGCTAGGCAGCCAATTAGGGCAGCCCACAGCGGTCGGTAGAAGAGCCAGCCGGCAGCCACGGTCAACAGGGTCAGTGAGGTGGCTACACAGAAGGCAAAGGCTTTCAGGCCAATGTTGACCAGGTCTCGGAAGACAGGAAACCAGTCCACTGTGGGGAAAGAAAAGGCCATGAGTCCCTGAGGACATTGTGCTCCCTGTCCTCGATGTCTCCTCTCAGCCATCGGAGAGGAACCAAACAGCCTCACACTTTCCCAGAATACCCAGGGGAGGAGGAGCTCAGTAAGCTGGCATATATAACTTTATTCCTGCTCAGCCCAGGCCCAAGTGTGAGTGCCTTGGCCTTCAAAGTCCACACTTGAGGTCACTGAAAAATCACCCATAACACCCTCTCCCTCAGAGCCAACCCTGACGCTCTGCACTGCTCGGTCAGAGCTTAAGCTCTGAGCCACTGTGCCCAGCCTGCAGAGGAAACACCTGGTGTTCAGTAGGTGACCCTGACAAATGGACAGGACTACATGGGCCCTGCCACAGCTCCCATTATCCCTCCACACTCCATCGGCCCTACCTGCCAGCATGCCTTCAGTGGAAATCAGGATCACAGACGGCTTCTCAAACATGGTGGGGACTGAGACTCACAAGGATTGCCCTGCCCTCAGTCACATGGCCAAGGTAGTTCTGTTTAAATTCTGATTGTTCTTTGCCATGCCCACAATGTGGCTGGTATTTTTGAGCATGCCTCAGCAATCTAGGGAAAGTCTGAGGGAATGACCTTGGTTTCCCATCTGTAAATGAGGAAACCCCCGTCAACCTCCAATACTTGCTGCCAATCTAGGATGTGCTCCAGCCACACCTCTCCCCAGTCCATAGACCTAAGTGGGGGAAAGATTTCTGCTGGTACCACAAGAAGTCTAGATGGGGACATACTGGGGCAGACGCTTGGGTACTGAGTCTCCCTGAGCAGACGCTCATCCTGCATGGACAATGTCAGCCTGGCACACTCCATGTCCTGGGCACCAGGTCCTGAACAAAATTGGGACACTTAAATTTGAGCTCTCTGATGCCAGACTTAGGGCTAGTGAGCAGCCCCTTCCCAGGCTCCAGATGTGCTAGCTGAAGCAAATATGGCCTGGCTTTGGAGGGTGTTAACATACAGAAAACTCCTAAGCAGGGGCGAGAAAAGGAAGCCCAGGCAGGGGTATCCGTGACTCTGACCTGAGGAATTTCAGGTGCAGATCCAGTTCATAGCACAGGCTGGCAAGCCTCTTACCTATCGCTGTTCAGTTATGGAGTAAGGGATGAGCAGAGCAGCTGGACCAGCCTCCCACCCCTAGGCAGGTGCGAGCATCCTGTCCCTCACACCTGCTTTTCTCCTCACTATTTGTCTTAAAGCTGGGGGGGTTGTCTGGGGGAGCACACATAGAGACAGGCCAGATGTTTGGTGTCTTTCTCAAGGATCCCATCAGACGGAAAGGCTGAACCAATGGAGTGTGATGAAGACAGGACCTCCAGAGAGAAGGATGGCTCCTACACTTTTCTCACTTACCCAGGGTGTAGAGGATCCGTGTCATGAGGTTGAGGCCCATAAACATGGCCATCCAGCCAGCTGCCCGCAGGCCCCAGGTCTTCATGGAATTGCTCTTCTGTTCTCTATGGAACACCTCCTGTAGGACAAGGTGGCACCGTGTCAAGACCCAGGGAGTCACCGACCAGCAGTGTGGGTCCTGGGGCGGGTGGCGGGCTTTTCCTTACAGAATACAGGGAGACAGGCAAACCTCTCATCGGTGTCTGAAGTCTCTGCTTGTCTAGCTCAAGAACATGGAATGAGACCTGTGGCCTCAGACACGGTCTCACTTGGAAGATGGCCACCATCCTTCCCACTGCAGCTGTCCATATGGGGGCAGCTCCCACCCTTCCGGAGGGGACAGTTTAAAAGTCCATGCTGGTCCTGGGTGAAGCATTAGCCCTCAACCCCAGGACACTGCTTGCAGCTTCAGGACCCTGGCCTAACAGTCTCCCTCCTACTCTGTAGGCTGTGTCCTTCTGACCCCATTGTTGTCCCTGGTTTCTTTTTCCTGGCCTGTAAATGCTGATATCCTCTGGCTGCTTCATCCATCTGTCCAGGACCCCTGTGTACCCCCATGGCTCCGTGTGCCTGTACTCAAACAGAACACTACACTGCTTTAGGGCTGCACTGGCTCCCAGACATTGTCCCAGCCTCCTGGCATACTGAGCATTGACTCAGAGCCCCACCCCAGCCCTATTCTCTGTCTTCCCCGTGGTAACACAC